CTTCATAAATTTTGGGGTTCAAAAAGCTTTAGATTCTTTCATTCCTATAAAAGCCTAAGTTGGTTGTCATCAATTACCAAAAAGGGGGAGATTGAAAGTGCATTTGCCCCCTATGTGGGTTTTGGTGTATTGATGACATCCAAATTAGGGACTAATGCGATCTTAATGAGATATGTTGCAGCTATTAGTCCCATGAAAGATTCAAAGAGTTGATAAAGATGAAATGGTATCCCTCAATTCTTGAAGTTGTAAAGGCGGACGAACTCAAAACGATCTCCAAAGGTTTTAATTTTGTTTTTGAGTTTAGGATCCGCCGCACTATAAAGAGGGACGCAAGTTTAGTTGGTCTGAGGAAGATAGAGTGCTCAAGCATTTAAATAAAACCAAAAGAGAGTCACTCTAGCACTTCACGAGCACAAAGAATTATTTTCTATGACTTTCGATGTCGGAAGTCCCGACGGTCGGAAGTCCTGACCTAAGCCAGGAGTCCCGGCACCTGTGCTTCTGACTGGCTCGTTGTCTGTGCACGTCGGAAGTCCCGACGCTCATCGGGAGTTCCGACCATCGGAAGTCCCGATGTTCGCCAGGAGTTTCGACACTGACCTGACCCAAGCTGGGAGTCCCGGCATCTGCAGTGATGGCTGTTTCGTTGACTGCGCACGTCGGAAGTCCCGACGTTCGTCGGAACTTCCGACCGTCGGAAGTCCCGACGTTTGCCGGGAGTTCCGACACTGCCCTGCACACGCTGACTTCCGACTCCTTGTGTACAGTGTTTTCTTTTATCGTCGGAAGTTCTGAGATCTGCGTCGAAAGTTCCGACGTAGATCTGAACGGTTGGATTTTCACTTGGAGTATAAATACTCCTCTCTTCGCTTCTAACCGTTACGGACTCATTTCACAGTTGACTCACTTCATGCTCAACAGCTCCCAAGCAACAAAAGCACCCCTCTCCTTGCCCCTTTGCTCCAATCTTCGATTCCCTTAGGGTTTGAGTGAAAGGAGAGTGGATTAAGTAAGAGCATCACTTTGGAAAGCTTGAGCACTTGATTTCTTCGTCAAGCCGGTTGATTTTGCGTCTATTTCTCTTGGGGCTTTGCCCCTAGCCGGCTAGGCGTTGCCCTAGAGCTTCCATCTTGTGGAAGAGCCTTGGGAAGTTTGTATCACCCTTCGATTTCTTAGTGGAAAGCTCAAGTGACCTTTGTGGTCGCTTTGAGAGAGGCAAGGGGTGGAAAAGACTCTGACCTTGGTGGTCACCTCAACAACGAGGGCGTAGGAGCTCCTTAGTGGGGTTGTCGAACCTCGGGATAAATCCTTGTGTCCCGTGTGCTTGTTGTTGTGATTGCTAGAGATTATTTGTATGTGTTTGTCTCTTTCTCTCCCAAACTTTCATTTTAGGGTTTGGACTCGATCTACCGTTTGGAGGCATTACGGTGTCAAGGGAGTGACTCAACATCTTCACCAAATCACTAGGAAGTGAGGTTGTAAGTTTACTTATCCGCAAAGTTAAATTTGGCACTGCTTTTGTAGTTCACGTAGGAGTCGGAACTGCTGACGTTTGCACCGGAACTTCTGACCACGTCGGAAGTTCCAACCCAAACGTCGGGACTTCCGACAGTGACTGACAGAATTGAACTTAGCATTTGCAGTAATTTTTAGATACGCCTGTTCACCCCCCCCTCTAGGCATTGTTAGATCCTTTCAAGACGACGTCGAGAACAGGGTGAGTTAGGCGGGTCATGTGGCAGCGGACGAGCTCTACAGCGGCCGAGGTGACAAGAGAGCAAGGGCGTAGACCTATGCCGATGTGCGAGAGCAGCGCCATGACTGGCTATAGCTTGCGCACAGCAGGGAGCGGATGCGACCCTACCGGGCTCGGCGTGCAGTCGACGATCACCGGCTTGCCAGCGGGGCAGCGGGGCAAGGCATGTTAGGAGGGCAACCAAGCGACCGGGGACGGCTGCGCGGCGACAGGGCTAGGCTCAGCCAGACACGGTAGAACGCGCTGAAACACGTGGTTACCGCGGCCAAAGGCCAATTGGCCGAAACCAGTGCTGTGCACGCTTTTTAAAGCAATGCCAAAGCTGCCCAACCGTGCAGTTCAAGTTCGATCAACCTCACTAATCCAAAGTCCATGGCACCAGCTAGCTAGGGAAGCACTTGGTGCGACCAAAGAGCAATTAGGGAAAAAGATACGAGAAGGCCAAAATGAGTTCGTCGAGCAGCGCGCCGGTTCACGAACAGAACACCAAACGTGGTTCTATGCGTGTTCTAAAGAGCTTCGAGCAAATCTTGGAATAACCCCGCCACGTCAGACCATTCTACGAACCACTCCACGCCAAAGTACTCACCAGGATGCAACTAGAGATACAAGAATATCAAGTTAGTGTTTAAGAAATTTAGCTAGAATTGAAATGCTAACACGTCATTGTCTAACGTTTCTGACTTAGAAAATTATAATTTCTAGTCTTGAACTACATTCAAGAACTACTCAACTAGTTAGTTCAATATAACTTGCCACGAGTGATACTTTTAATTATAAGTCAAATTTCAAAATCCGAGAAAATCGTTTCAGAAATTCTCTTAGGCCTAAAACGCGGTGCTAAATAAGCTCGTAACACCAGGGGTGTTACAGACCGCCACCATCATCAGTCTGTCGCCCTCCACAAATGTCCCCCTTCTAAGCTGATAGCCATATAACACCCTCTGAGGCCCTGAACCCTAACACCGATGAGGTCTTCATGTGTGAGCTCGTCGTCTCTGCCTCTTTGGCTACAATGAGTCTTTTTTGTCTTCCTAGTGCGTGCATGCCCGAGTGTCTCTGCTAGCGTGTTTGGAAAGAAGCATTTACCTAGAAAAAAAACTTATTCCATTGTTGTAGTTGTCGTTGTTATGGGCCTAGATACCCTTACCGCAAGAGAAACTATCCACAACCGGGACGCGCTGGGCCGAGCATGCTACATAAGAGGCTCAAATCCGATGAATATCTCGTCTACTTAACAGGAAGGCGTAGACTAGATATACCTAGAAGTTAATCAATCTGTAAGAGGGTGCATGATTTGTGGAATAAAGTAGTCAATCATCATCTCACTATTTAGCTTTTTGTTTGGTTTGTGGAACGAAATTAGTTGATCTATCGCCATCACATTTCTCACAAAGTTAATAATCAGCAGTAGTATGAGTAGTGAAGTCATTATTGAAGAATGAACCCATGATGCATCACTTCATTTAGAATGTGTTGATTTCCCTAACCGAACACTCCATGAAAATCCACTCGGATCCGGCTCCTATTCTTGGTAATAACTAGAAAATAGTTGATATAAATTCTACCCCTGTACTATATAAGGAAGGGCATTGTCCTCTATATCAATATCTTTGTCTCTTAGCAATCAGCCCCATCGACACTCCTATAAACCGAGCACATAGTATACAAAGAATTATTTTTCACTAGACATATAGTATCCCATACCTAAATTAATATAATTCTTTATCATGTGTGTTATTCCTCTGATTTCCTATCTCCTTGATTTTTTTTACGACGAAAGAAGAACTATATTAGATAATAGCAGGGTACATTAACATGTTACAAACACTCTAGATTACACAAATATACAGAAACTGATTTTCATTTAAAGTATACCCATACTGTGAATAGCTCCAAATCTCAAAACCAAACCTGTATGACACTTTGCAGTATAGATGACGGCACAGGCAAACACTCAGCAAAAGGCCTGAGAACAGATGCCCAACAAACGACGACCAACAATCATGTAGGCGGAGTTACGAAACTTCTTCTTTCTGGTGTCTTTCTTCTTCTTCTTTCTGCCACCGAAGAATAAGGAAGACTGATCTAAAACTTATTCTCCCTAGTCCTTCATCGTGGTCAGATCTAACCACAATAAAATGGAGAAGAGACCGGAGAAAATTATTCCATGACGACGACACCGTCTCCGCCTTGATGTTGCCGTCTGAAAATAAAAGTCTCCATATCATCATACAAAGGAGGCGGGGGCGGCGACGCTGAGTCGCGAGACGCGAGGGTCCTCTACAATACGAGGAGGGTTATTCAGCCGTGATAACCAACTACACCACCCAAACATCTTATTTCCTATCTAGTCGAATTGAGTATATAAATATGTGTCTTGGATGGTACCTTTGATTTTCTATGAGAGCATTAATTTATTATCGAACGCTAAATCTTGAGCCTGTTCGCTGATTGATTTCTGGGCTGATAAGGCCGGCTGGTGCTGGTTTGTTGTGAGAGAAAAACACTGTTGGCTGGCTGATAAGCCCTGGCTGAAACCAACAAGCGAATAGACTGCTTATATGATCAATCACACCTAAACCTCCCCATATTTATGAGACCTATAGTTTTTATTTGCATCTACTATTCCTAAACTATATAGCAATTCTATCGATGATACTGTACATGTTTGGATATATGTGTATATACTTCAATCCACATGTGTTGGAGTTGATTGAAATGGAACTTTAGTTTAATTCCACTCTAATCCACTTCAACATATATGACTTGAGATGAATACATGTGCATCTAAACAAGGTCTTATATGAATGAAAAGGTAAGGATATGTGCTCACATCAGCAATTGAATCGTTCTCACTGAATTTTTCTTTTTCTTGCCAACGAGGACTCACCATAACGTATAAATCCAAAATGTTCTTTCTATTCCCTTAAAAAGAAAATGTTCTTTCTATGTATTACTCCTAAATTTATGTAGACATATACACACACTAGATGCACCTTAAAATGCATATGTATGTACTACTTGTCGTGAATTCACGACCAGTGGGCCTATGCTGTCATGGAACGGTGCTCGCTGTTTTTTTTTCCTTGCCAAAATGCCAACGAGGCCTCACCAAGCCACGCCTCGAGCGAGCCCTCTCTCCTCCATCTCGGCCGCGCCAACGCTTCCCAGTTTCTACCCCCAAAAGGCCTCAAACCACACGGATCCAGCCCCTTTTCCTCTTCAGCCACCGCTGCTGATGGCCTCCACCCCGCCGGCGCCCGCCGTGGCGCCGTCGCTGGTGGACACCCTCTTCCAGCGCTCCCTAAACGACCTCGTCAAGTCCCTCCGCGCCGACCCGTCGGCCGCCGGCGAGGCCGCGGCCGTCGCCCGCGCGCTCTCCGAGATCCACCGCGAGATCCGCGCCCCCGACGCCGCCACCAAGTCCGTCGCGCTGCAGAAGCTGGCCTACCTCTCCTCGCTCCACTTCGCCCCCGTCGGCTCCCACCCGCTCGCCTTCGCCGCCATCGAGCTCCTCGCCTCGCCGCACCTGCCCCACAAGCACCTGGCCTACCTCGCCGCGTCCCTCTCGCTCCACCCGGCCTCGCTCTCGCTGCTCCCGCTCGCCACGCACCAGCTCCACAAGGACCTCTCCCCCTCCGCTGGCGCCGCCCACCAGCAGCACGTCTCCGCGCTCGCGTTCCAGCTCCTCGCCTCGCCTGCCGCGACCGCCGCGCCCGACCTCCCCGTCCACCTCGCGCACGACCTCGTACAGCACCTCGCCCGCGGCAGCCCCCGCGCCATCGCCGCCGCCGCGCGCGTCATAGCCGCCTCGCCGTCCGCGGCCGTGCCGGTCCTCTTCAAGCCGCTGGCGGCGTGTCTCGCCTCTCCCGATCCTCGCGCGTCCACGGCGGCTGCGGCGGCCTTCTGTGACCTATCGGCGCCCCCTGCCGATGCGACGCCTTTCCTGCCGCTCGCGCCCGACCTCTACAACCTGCTCACCACCTCCCGATCCAACTGGGCGCTCATCAAGGTGCTCAAGGTGTTTGCAAGACTGGCTCCTCTCGAGCCCCGCCTGGCAGCGAGAATCGTCGACCCGGTTTGCCAGCTCCTCACCCGATCTTCGGCCATGTCACTGACCTTTGAGTGCATCCGTACGGTGCTCACTGCACTGCCAGCACATGATGCCGCGGTCCGCCTTGCCATTGGGAAAGCCAAGGAGTTCATTGCTGCTGCTGATGATCCCAACCTTCGGTACCTTGGGCTTCTGGCTCTTGGTATGCTTGGCCCAGCATATGCATCCACGGTGAATGATTGTCGGGATGCTATTGCGAAGTCACTGGGTGATGCCGACACGAACATTCGCCAGGAGGCGTTGCATCTCATTATGGGGATGGTTAATGAAAACAACGTCGTGGACATTGCTGGTATGCTGATCAGTCATGTTGCTAAGTCAGACCCAGAGTTCGCAAACGACATTCTTGGGGCTGTTCTAGCAGCATGTGGGCATAATGTGTATGAGATGGTGGTGGATTTTGATTGGTATGTTTCGCTCCTTGCGGATATGGCAAGAACCCTGCATTGTGCCCAGGGGGATGAGATTGGTCGGCAGCTTGTTGATGTAGGACTGAGAGTGCAGGATGCACGGCCAGAGCTTGTCCGTTCAGCTCGAACTCTCCTGATTGATCCTGCTTTGCTTGGAAATCACTTCCTCTTCCCTGTTCTTTCAGCGGCTGCATGGATTTCTGGTGAGTATGTGGACTTAACGAAGGATCCTGTTGAGCTTGTTGAAGCACTCTTGCAACCAAGGACCAGCCTCCTACCAATTTCAGTGAGAGCTGTCTACATCCATGCAGTATTTAAAGTGATTACGTGGTGTTTCAGTGTGTATGTTGGGAGATTGGGTGATTCAGGCATGGCAATGGATGTCATGTTCGACAGGTTAGCTCCTGATCAAACTGTTAGTTTGGACAGCAATGTTGCACTTGGGTCTGGTGAAGAACAAGATATTGGGGCGAGCACAGTGCGAAAGGACCCTTTTTCACATGAATCTATACTTTACATGATTGACCTGATTCAAACAACAGTTGGTCCACTGATTAACTGCAATGAAGTAGAAGTCCAGGAGAGAGCACACAACCTGATTGGTTTTGTCCATTTAGTAAGAGAAATTCAAGAGCTGAACAAAAGGAAGGTTGCTGATGGTGACGAGCCAAGCAGGTTAAAGGAGCTTGTTAAGACTATGCGGACAGTATTCTGTCAAGAACTAGGTCCTGTTTCTGTGAATGCACAGATGAAAGTGGCCCCTCCAGATGGTCTTATTCTGAATGAAAATCTTGTTGAACTTGCTGGCATGGTGAGTGAAGATGATACTACTCCCTCAACTTCAATCTTTTTCTATCCTTGCAGTCGTCATTCTGTAGATACCAGAGATGAGCCGGCAGTGTCAATTGGTTCGTCTTCTCTTTCTGAGCATCGCAAGAGGCATGGGCTCTTTTATCTCCAAACAGGGAAAACTGAGGATGAGCCAAATGATTACCCTCAAGCTAACGATTCTCTACCATCTTCTAGCAATAATTCTGTTATTAATGATGACAAGTCGAAGACTGCTGAACTTGTATTTGCTGGGAAAAAGTCGACGGCCACGAAATCCAGACCAAAAGTAGTTAAGTTGGATACTGAGGATTTCCTCAGTTCTGTGATGCCTAGTGCAAATGTTCCAAAAGAAGACCCCTTGTCTGGTGCTCTACGTGATGTGCTCTTGGGTAGTGATGCTAAGGCATTGTCTTCACAAAGGGCTTCAGATATAAACTTGGAAGGAATGCTAAACAAAACAAGCAGTAATGAATCTAGCTCTCATCTGATAGAGAATTTAGGAAGCTATCCTGCTTCACGTTCTAGTAGAACAACAAGCAAGCAACAAAACGATGATAAAGAGAAAGGTACAAATCCTCGTGAAAGTGATGGCAAAGAACCAAGAAAGCACAGAAGCTCTGGTAGAAGTGGACATCGTCAAGGAAAACATAAGCATAGAGAAAAGTCTAGTACTCAGCCTGATACTATACCTCAAGCTTCAGTCATTCAAGATTTCCTTCTATAGCATCTGAGAGACTCATTTGGTATACTTCAGTTGAGTGCATTTCATTCTCTTTTGACATGTGGTGCTGTTTAGTCTTTGATCTGTTACTGGTCATGCTGTTTCATGTCTATCTTGGCCATAGCACTTGATGCAATTTGCTCTTTGATAGATCTATTGAAATATGTTAGTTCATATGGCATACTGTAGAGAGCCAGACACAGTTTTTATTTAATCTCTTTATGTGAACTTCTATAACCCTCCCATCTACCTCTCAAAATTGTGGAAGTCATGCAAACTATTTAAGGCTCTGTTTGGCAACCACCTAGATTATATAATCTGGGTGGTAGCCAAATAGGGCAGATTATATACAGGTGGATTATGATGGTAGATTATATAATCTCAACAAGCCTTGTTGGGGTAGATTATCCAATTATATAATATATCAACCTAGATTATATAATATAGGGACAAGGCTATGCACCAATGCTAACAGGCCATGTAAAACTTTAAATACATATTAACTTACCATGGTATAGCATTGCACATCAATAGATCCATTTCGAATTGACTCATTGAATGTGTGGGGCTTACTTTTTGTATAATTTAAATTGAAACATACAAATATTTCTTAGCCTAAGTAAGATGGGCTAGTATTCTAAGTGTGCCAGCCATATTACTCAATTGAAATGAGGAGATACTGAAGAACTTTAATTAGTGGCTTAAATCTGCACAAGATGTTTTTGACAACGCCCTGTTCGTTTGGGCTTGTTTGACTGATAAGCCATGGTTGAAAATACTTTTGGCTGATTTGGTGTGAAAGAAACATATTGTTCGTTGGCTGAAAAAGTACGGCTTATAAGCCAAACAAGCCCAAGCGAAAGAGTACTTGCATTGTTCTAAGTTAGTACCATGATTATACAAAAGAAGGTTTCTTAGTTTGAACACACTATACAACAGTTAAGGTTCTATGGAAATTTAGTATAGCGTTCATTCAGGTTTCTTCCAGTTACCATATTATTGTTTATCGGCAATTCTGCATTGCTACAGAGTCCAAAAGTTCACAACAGGGAAATTTCTTTGGTTCGTAGGCTATTCTTACTGTTCGGAAACATTAATTATAAGTGAATTCTGAATGATGTCGAATGTTGCTTGAATTCTGTTGTTCCTTTTTTTGATGTGAAGAAAAAAGAAGTAAACAGGCAGTTCCTTCAAGGTAATGCATATGGAGAGTTCTCTTCATAGGCGATTCTCTTAAGGAATGGACTTACTGTAATCCAGATGCATTTTAGCATCAAGCATTTCCGCATCTTTAGCTTGTGCCCAAAGCTGGCTAAGGGTCATGGATTTCAGGATATGGATATCCATGTTGTCTGTATGGTTGGATAGACGGGACGAGCTATTTTTCTGTTTGGCTGGATGGATGAGATTGCATGTGATGTGATGAGAATACTTGAATAATTATATCTATTATTTAAAAATAATAACAACTAACTATACACTAATAAATATGCACTGACACTAATCTTGTCATTATAATCATTAATAAAAATAAAATATGTTAATTAGCATTATACTATAATTGTCACATAAAACGTGCGTTAATCAACACGTGGATATCCTCGTTCGCCAGATTTTTTAGGGTCATGATATCTAGCATCTACGTAGAATATTTCTGTGGGGTTCAGCTTGTATATCCGACCAATCATCCTGTATCCATGAATGTCATGAAACCTAACACACCCTAAGCAACCCAAACTCCGTGCAACATACATAACATGACGATGTGCTACAAATGATGTACTTCACCAGATCCTACGGCGGTTTCTCAATCTCCTTGCACTCGCATGTATGTACTGTATATCATAATTCTACCCAAGCATGTTGCTGCCAATGTTGATCACTATCACAAGGTCGAGTACCGCTTTTCGCTGCATTGCCAGGATCGGGCGGCCCAAGACGCACGACACGCATCCGCATCGGGTCGACACAACCGATGGCTATCGAGACCAAGGAGGCACGCCGTGCCTCAAGGGTCGTGCCTCATCGACTGCTCATGGGGCCTGGCCTTCTACCCGAACACGGCCTCAGGGAGCCATTTTTTCGTCTGCCGTCTTGGCCCGTGAGGCACGCAAGAAAATAGCAGCCGTGCCGACCCCCATAGCCCGTTAAATCTAAAACACCTCCAAATAAACATCTCAATCCATTTTTTCAACCATGAACACATAAGTATGAATTTTGACCAACACAATTTTTTCACACTTAGCCATTTAGGACACTTAGGCAATAAAAATGAAAGAAAGAACAACAAGATGAAGACAACAGATTTAAATATAAAAAGAGTTGTTTTGTGCAATGTTTGCCTTATTAAAAACCTACCTAGGTAAAACTCACCCTTGTGAGAAACCCTAAGCGAAAAAAAAGAGTGCAAATGCGACTCAAATGTCTTAATCTTACATAGTTATTACAAACCATTGTTCAAATGTTCAAATGAAAACTAAGCAAATGAGTGAGGGACACATCCACTCTCAACTCACACAAAAGTACTCCAACACTCCCAGCCAACCAATGCCACTCTCAGCCACCAGATGCATCATCTTCACCTTCTGGTTCATCCAGGAACAGATTCTCGAATGCATCTTCAATTTCCTTGGTATCAGCAGCTTCATGTTGTTCCCTCTTCTCTCCTAGCTCCCAGTCCTTCAACAAGGTCAGCATCTCAACATGTTCTGGTTTCAAGCTCTGGCGCCGTTCTTCTAGGATCCTCCCTGCTAAGCTGAAACAAGACTCTGAAGAACAAGTGGAAACAGGAACTGACATGATATCTCTGGCCATAATAGCCAGGATGGGATATGTTAGTTTGTGGTCCTTCCACCATAGAAGAATGTCAAAACCATCCTCATAAGCAGTTATGTAGTCGCTGTCCAAATAGCTTGAAAGTTCAGAAGCAGTAGAGTGAGAAGAAGAACAGGCAGTGCCACTGGAAGGACTAAGCGCACTGATCCTCCAAAAATTACCCCCAAGCCTGCTTTCTCTTACCAATGGGTGGAGTAGGACCAAAGAACCCTTTGTGACCTGGTTGCACCAAACTTTCTCAAACATTTTATGCAACTCAATTTTCAAATCAAAGATAGTAAGTAGTGTAATCAAGTACCAAAGATATTCAAGAAGTAAATGGAGGACCTTTGCATACCTCTGAGCTTAGCTCTAGGGTCAAGAATGAATGCAAATGAGTATAAGAGAGGAATGTCCTTCCAATACTTAAGAAATTTATGCTGCATAGGGTACACAAAGGGTCTAAGATTAACATCCCTTTCACATGCATGCAAATGGGTTGCAATCTCCAGAACATGGTGCAGCACAAGAGGACTGGTAGGATAATAAACACCAGACAGTGTAATAGTAGAGTCATAAAATACTTACAGGAACTCCAATATTTTTCCAGCCACGTGCCAATGGGCTGGAGACAACAGTGCAGAACCATAATTTGAATTTATGAACACAGAAAATACTTCACTGTAAGGAACCAAGTGTTTTAGCATGAGATAAGTAGCATTCCATCTAACATCCATGTCTAAGCCAAATTTTCTAGGTCTCATACCTTTAGCTTCACAGTAGTTTCTAAACATAGCAATTCTTTGATTAGAGGAGTTCAAGAAATTAATTGCAGTTCTAAAATCCTCTATATAAGGTTTGATTCTTTTTAGTCCAGATTTGACTATCGAGTTAATAATGTGACAAGCACAGCGTTGATGCACAAGATCAGAACCAAAGCGTGATTATCAAAAGCGAGATCACAACCAAGATAACCAAACAAACATGGGTGTCAAAGTTTTCATAGCCTTAGCATTAGAAGATGCATTATCTAAAGTGATAGAAAAGATTTTATCAACCAAGCCATACTCCTCAACAACAGATGCAATGGAAGCAGAAATGTTTTCACTATAATGCTTAACTTGAATCAACCTAAGACCAACAATCTTCTTTTGCAATTCCCAATCAGCATTCACATAGTGAGCAACAACAGATATGTAATCCTCTTTAGCATTACTGCACCATATGTCGAAGTCAAAGCAACAAATGCGAAGCATGCACACAGCTTCCTAATCATAGCACGATCGTTCAAAGAAATAACTTATCCGGATCTCTAGTGGTGGTTCTTCTAGATGATCTAACAAATCTTGGGTTATGAGAATTTTTAATATATTCCTCAAATGCATCGGTGTCACCAAAACCAAGAGGAAGATCAAGTCTAGCAATCAATCTACACATTCAGTTCTAGCAACATGAGGATCATAGTTCCAATTATGCAAAGACCCATCAAGATTAAAAGCTAGTCGAGATCGAACCCTAGAAGCATTATCAAGTTTACATTTGCAAGATTTTTGGTGCCTAAGAATGTGACCAGTACCAACAAAGAGATCTAGCACTCAACACGCTTCTACACATCTTACATATAGCTCTAACACGCACATCGACACCATTAATCTTCTCATAAACCTCCTCAAAGTCACCCCAAAGACTTAGACTTGCTCTTACCAAGTCCGAAAAACAAGACCGAGAGGAAGGAGTACGAGTACCATTACCATCAAGATTACCATTAACACCAGGTCTTTGTTGGCGTGGGTGTTGAGTCCACCGTCCCTCGTCCCCCGTTGCCCCTGCGCCGACGCGGCATCGACGTCGATCACCGGTAATGTCCCGCGGGTGGCGTCATCAAACACCGCAAAGGGGTCACGGCCGTCGTCGTCGTGCTCGGGGAACGATCCACCCACGACCAAGTCATCGTCACCGGTCATAGGGAACATGGCATCGTCGCCTCATGGGTCACACGCCATGGGGCCCTCGGCCATGGACGGCCCGAACTCCAAAGACTGTTCCTCAACGGTGCGCTGCTACGGCTTAGCAGCGGTGCCATTGCCCGTCGTCGCGTCTCGCCAAGGCTAATTGACGACGAGGCATCGGCAGCAGACCGCAAAGAAAAAGAACACGAAAAGAAGAAAAGGATGAGAAAATGATCCCAAAAATGTAATCAAAACACCGAGAAACGATAGATCTAGGGGCTAGGGTTAGGGTTACGAATGGGGATGGACTTGCTCACAGAACCGGAGCCCGGCGCGAGAAAGACGAGGGCCACACAAGGGCAAGACGAGATTAAGAAGGATGGCGCCATGAGCGACGGCGGAAGAGAGACGGGAGGCGGACTCACATGTTCATCGACAAACAGAGGAGAAGGAGTAAAAGGAAGACGGAGAGGGACCGAGGGAGGCGGGGAACTCGGGGAGAGGTGATGGAGCGGCGGCGATATCACCGGATCAAGGACGACTCAGTCCGCCGGGCGAAGATGGATCGACGAGAGGAGGTGTGGTGGCGACAGTGACCGAAAGCGGGTGTCGAGTCTTGGCGCGGCGGTTGAGGGAATGGGGTTAGGGTTAGGGTGGGGGTGGGGCCGGGGGGTCGCGGTTTATATATGGGGAGGAGGGGAGTTCTTGGGCGGCGGCCTGGCTGCCTTTGTTGGCTGGGCCTCACAGACTGCCGCCGTTATTTTGTGGGCAATGCTGCGTCGGCTGTGGGCCTAGGGTGCGCCCCAAGCACTGACTGCACTCCCGTCTGTCTTGGCCAGGCCCATTGACCTTGGTGGGCCGGCTAGGGCCGGGCCTAAATAGCGGGCTCTGTGCCGGGCTCACGGGCTCGGGCTTTGTGTCCAGATATACTACTAGCCAAAGCCGCGGCCGCCGATCGCGGTCGTCGCTCCTGGTGCCCTGACTTGCACGAGCACCGCAAACTTGTCCTTAACGTGCCGAGTGCCCCTGGGACAGGGCCAGATGCTCGCCGCCCTGGTGCCCTGGCATGCACGAAGGACGGACGAAACATAAGGGCATTTTTGAAATAAAAAAGGGTTAAAATAAACGTTTCGTTTCTTTTTTTTTAAATTACACGGTAGACGTTCACAACACGTACGCACACTCATAGCTATGAACACACATACGTAAACCCTACCCCTATAAACACCTTTAAAGCACTGAGCTAGCATATCTCGAGATTTACGAAGTCACCATAGACACCTCGCTGTCGACGGAGTCGTTGCCTACCAAAAGTAGATTAGTTAGAATTAGAGATTTTCTCGTCTTTCAAAAAAAAATCACATAATGTTGAATGGGCGAGGATAGGAGGTTTTACAATGACTGTTAAGTAAACGTAGCTTTGTAACTTACTACGATTCACATGCTTCTGCATAGTAAGATCATAATGGCACAGCAGAAACTTGGTGCGCCCATACCGTCCTAGGATCGAAACCTGGTTCTGATGGATTTTGTTGTTTTTTTGGATTTGTACTCTTTTTAGCTGAGTTTCTCATTTTTGCTGTTTTTTTACTGAACTTTTTATTTTGATGTCCTCGCCGCCGTCGTCTGTCGTCTCCTCGCGCCCGTCCTCCGCTGCCCAACTCCGGCGTCGTCCCACCTTCCGAACCAGCGGACCCATCCACCGCTCAAGCGTTAGCCCCACACTCACTCGTCTGTATCCCGTGGCAAGGAGCGGGCGCGCACGCGCGCTTGATTCGCCGCATCTGAGCGTCACGGCCGCGACCGCGCGCCTTCCGTCGCCTCCCGCCGCCGCAGCACGGCCGCGACGGATGCTCGGCCACCGCTTCCCCGCCGCGCTCCGCCTCCCGCGCTGTCTGCTACTGCGGAGGAGGAGGGGCATCATCGCCCGCCGCGGCCTGTCCGTCATGGCCGGAGGCGAGGCGGCGGAGGGTCCGCTCGGGGGCTTCTTCGAGTACATGGAGCGGCTGCGCAACTACGAGCGCTCGGGCTTGCCGCGCGGCGCCGGCACCGACTCCGACGACGGGTTCGACCTCGGGCGCATGCGCCGGCTCCTCCGCCGGCTCGGCGACCCCCACACCCACTTCCCGGTGAGGTCTCCCGGATGGCATTTTTTTTTTTCTCGGAGCTAGTTTTCAGTGAAGGCAAAGATGAGCTTAATAGATGTGTCTGTAGGCTGTGCATATCGCCGGCACCAAGGGGAAAGGTTCTACTGCTGCATTCCTGTCCAATATCATGAGGGCGCAAGGCTACAATGTGGGCTGTTATTCCAGGTAATCTTATCTCATCATCAGCATCATCTTTGTCAGTCATGTGCAGTTGTTACACAGAAATTTTGTGGTGGCAGTATGATAGGGGGCATGAATACGAATGGATTCATCATTGTTTGCTGGAACAATTGCATAGAAAACATGGTTTTAGCCTTTAGGCTGTCAACCGATATCAAATTTTAACAGAGGATATCGAATTGGAATTGTAAAATGTATTGATAAGAGAAATAGCCTAAAATGGGGATGTGAATAATTATGTCGTATGCACGAGCAAAATGTAGTCTGTTTTAAGTAGTTTTGATTTTTTTTTACAACAAAAGTAGTTTTGATTGCACGAGGCTTATGTATCCAAAAAAGTATCATTCTCTGGTCTCTGCCATAGCCTATCCTGTCAATAGCTTCTTTAGCTGGATCTCGTTTTCTATCAAATTATTTTGGAACATTATCTTTCACTTTTCAATGTTGGGATCTATGTCAAGTTTGAAGTGTAATCCTGTATTCTAGATGGTTTCTAATTGTTCAGTTCCATTGTGTCTCACTGTTTTTTTTAACGCCGCTATAATTCTGTCATCTATGCAGCCCACATCTTCTAACGATACGTGAACGGATTTCTGTTGGAAATGATGGAGGCCCTGTTCCAGTACGACTGTTGAGTGATCTTTTTGATGAGGCTAAGGAAGCTATTGATGAAGCAATAGAGTCGGAAAATGGATCCCTGACACATTTTGAGGTAGTTTATTATTGGAAATTAGCCTACCTGTTTTTTTGTGATGATTAGAATTTGACTGTTTCGTGGACACATACAAATAATTATTGTAAGCAACTGATGGGATTTTTTTCCTACATCCAAATACTATTAGCTTTGAATCTGTTCATGTTTTGTTTCTCATTTGATCATAGTCATGATTTCCAGAGGTTATCTGGATGCCTTTGCAGGTTTTTACTGCTCTCTCATTTCTTCTATTCTCACAAGAAAATGTTGACATTGCCATCATCGAAGTAAGTTACAGGACATCTGTTACTGCCTTATATGACCTCTCAAGTTTTGTGCTCATTGCTGTTAAATAAGGGGTAGACCCAGTGCCGGAGGCTCCCACATGAGTGGGGTCTGGGAAGGGATAAACCAAGCCTTTCCCCCGTAAAATCTGCGGAGAAGCTGCTTTGAACCCATGACCTGTTGACTCAGTGAGACAGGTCTTACCACTGCACCAGGCCTGCCCATGTCAAGGTCTCACCACATGAGTGCTCATTGCTGTTAAATGTCAAGACTAAAATAGGAAGTAATGCAATTGATATCACTGAATAAAAAAAAAGTTTTTCTATGAGTTCTTTGCATGGTTAGGCAGGCCTTGACATGGACCCCTTCCAAAATGATGACAAGTTGCTAACCGAAGAGGTGGCCAATTGATTCTGCCAGATAATGGCTAAGTTGAGAGGGTATATAGGATGTTGTCTAGACTGAATTACAACAACAACAACAACAACAACAACAAAACCTTTAAGTCCCAAATAAGTTGGGGTAGGCTAGAGTTGAAACCAGCAGAAGCAATCAAGGTTCAGGCACGTGAATAGCTGTTTTCCAAGCACTACTATCTAAGACTAAGTCTTTGGGTATATTCCATCCTTTCAAGTCTCCTTTTATTGGCCCCGTTCGGCTTACCTTATAATCCGCACTATTCAAATTTTGTTTTTTCAAATTTAACGAGATTTTTTCTCTCACAACAATTCAAATTTAACAGTTTTTTCAAATTAAATTCAAATGAAGTTTCAACAAGAAGTTTAACGGGGCCATTGCCTCTACCTAAGTCAACTTCGGTCTTCCTCTGGCCTCTCTTCACGATACTATCCTGGCTTAGGATTCCACTACGCACCGGTGCCTCTGGAGGTCTTCATTGTATATGTCCAAACCATCTCAACCGGTGTTGGACAAGCTTTTCTTCAATTAGTGCTACCCCTAATCTATCACGTATATCATCGTTCCGAATTCGATCCCTTCTTGTATGACCGCAAATCCAACGCAACATACGCATTTCTGCGACACTTATTTGTTGAACATGTCGTCTTTTCGTAGGCCAACATTCTGTACCATACAACATAGCAGGTCTAATCGTCGTCCTATAAAATTTGCCTTTTAGCTTCTGTGTTACCCTTTTGTCACATAGGACACTAGATGCTTGGCGCCACTTCATCCACCCTGTTTTGATTCTATGGTTAACATCTTCATCAATATCCCCGTCTCTCTGTAGGATTGATCCTAAATATCGAAAGGTATCCATCCTAGGCACTACTTGACCTTCCAAACTAGTATCCTCCTCCTCCTGAGTAGTAGTGCCGAAGTCACATCTCATATACTCAGTTTTAGTTCTTCTGAGTCTAAAACCTTTGGACTCCAAAGTCTCCCGCCATAACTCCAGTTTCTGATTTACTCTTGTCCGACTTTCATCATTTAGCACTACATCGTCCGCGAAAAGCATACACCAAGGGATGTCCCCTTGTATGTCCCTTGTGACCTCATCCATCACTAAGGCAAACAGATAAGGGCTCAAAGCTGACCCTTGATGTAGTCCTATCCTAATCGGGAAATCATCCGTATCTCCATCACTTGTTCGAACACTAGTCACAACATTATTGTACATGTCCTTAATGAGCCCGACGTACTTCGTTGGTACTTTATGTTTGTCCAAAGCCCACCACATAACATTCCTTGGTATTTTATCATAAGCCTTCTCTAAGTCAATAAAAATCATGTGTAGGTCCTTTTTTTCTCCCTATACTCCCCCATAACTTGTCTTATTAAGAAAATGGCTTTCATGGTTGACCTTCCGGACATGAAACCAAATTGGTTCATAGAGACCCGCGTTATTGCTCTCAAGCGATGCTCGATAACTCTCTCCCATAACTTCGTAGTATGACTCATCAACTTAATTCCCTGGTAATTAGTACAACTTTGAATATCCTCTTTATTTTTGTAGATCAGTACTAATATACTTCTCAATTCGTCAGGCATCTTGTTCGATCGAAAAATATAGTTAAACGGCTTGGCTAGCCATACTATAGCTATGTCCCCAAGGCATCTCCACACCTCGATTGGGATACCATCCGGTCCCATCGTCTTACCTCCTTTCATCCTTTTCAACGCCTCTCTGACCTCAAATTCTTGGATTCTCCGTACAAAGCGCCTATTGGTGTCATCAAAAGAGTCATCAAACTGAAATGTTGTGTCCGTATTCTCACCATTAAACAATTTGTCAAAATACTCTTGCCATCGATGTCGGATCTCATCCTCCTTCACCAAGAGATACTCCCGTTCATTCTTAATGCACTTAACTTGGTTGAAGTCCCTTGTCTTTCTCTCACGAACCCTAGCCATCCTCTATATGTCCTTCTCTCCTTCCTTCGTACTCAAATGCTGGTAAAGATCCTCCTCTACTCTTTGCCACACTTACAGCTCGCTTTGTAGTCTTCTTTGCCACCTTGTACTTCTCTATGTTGTCCACACTCCTGTCATGGTACAAGCGTCTATAGCATTCTTTCTTCTCCTTAATAGCCCTTTGGACTTCTTCGTTCCACCACTAAGTATCTTTAGCCTCGCCTCCACTTCCTTTGGTTACTCCACACACCTCCGAGGCCACCTTCCGAATGTTGGTTGCCATCTTCTCCCACATGTTGTTTATGCTCTTGTTTAGTTTCTCCAAACTCCTGAAAAGTGCACTATGCAAAAAGAAGATTCCCCGTCATATCAAACTTGCGGTACATGCATGGAGTACTAAATGTAGACGAAATAAAAACTAATTGCATAGTTTGCTTTAACTTTGCGAGACGAATCTTTTGAGCCTAATTAGTCAATGTTTGGACAATAATTCACAAATACAAACGAAATGCTACAGTAGGGAATCTTCACTATGCAAAGTTTGCCTGCCCAACTAAACACCGCCTTTGTCCTCTTCTTCCTTCCAAGAGCCCTCTTTGATAACTCTTTCCCTGAATACCTCTAACGTCTCCCATTTTAGTTTCCACTACTTTGTTCTTTTAATCTTAGCTTGTTTATCCCTACGGGCACGCATCTAAAAACGAAAGTCTACCATCAAAAGCTTATGTTGAGAAACAACACACTCTTCTGGTATCACCTTGCAACCCAAGCATGCTCGTTTATCCTTTCTTCTTGCGAGGACAAAGTCAATCTGGCTAGAGTGTTGTCCGCTACTGAAGGTCACTAGATGAGATTCTCTCTTTTTTAAAAAAGTGTTGGCTATCATCAGGTCAAAAGCTACCGAAGTCCAGAACTTCCTTCCCCTCCTGATTCCTACTACCATACCCAAAACCTCCATGAATTGCCTCGAAACCTGCGCTTGTAGTACCTACATGTCCATTAAGATCTCCTCCTATAAAAAGCTTCTGACTACTAGGTACAGCTCTAATCAGGCCATCTAAGTCTTCCCAGAACTATCTCTTAGCACTCTCGTCGATGCCTACTTAGGGGGCATACGCACTAATTACGTTCAAGACCATATCACCAATGACAAGCTTGAATAAGATAATCCTATCTCCTTGCCTTCTCACTCCCACCACACTATTCTTGAGGCTCTTATCAATCAAAACTCCTACTCCATTTCTATTCGCAACTGTCTCTTTGTACCAAAGCTTGAAACCTGTATTGTCCACCTCCTTCGCCTTCTGACCCTTCCATTTAGTCTCTTGAACGCATAATATATTTACACGCCTCCTAGCCGCGGTATCAACTAATTCTCTTAACTTACCTGTAAGCGACCCTACATTCCAACTACCTAAACGGATCCTAGTTGGTTCGACTAACTTCCTTACCCTTCGCACCCGTCGACTCAGATGTGAAGACCCTTGCTCATTTTTCACTACACTCGGGCGCCGATGTAGCGCGCCACTAAGGATGCGACGACCCGATCCTTGCTCACTTGACACCGTGCCCAGATCGCGACACGGCGCGTCACGAGGGTGACGACCCGGCCCTTGCTCATTTAACACCATACCTGGGTTCCGATATGGCGCGTCGCTAAGAGGGTTACGCCCCAACGGTTTTCTTTCGGGTTTCATCTCCATTAGAATGGCTAGATTTAATGTTGGCTCGCCACACCTATCACAACCCTCCTCCTTTACCAGGGCTTGGGACCTGCTATGTTGAGACAACATTGTCTAGACTCAATTAGCTTGCCAAATTATAGATAGGCATATAAACTTATATTATGCTGAACAGAAGTCACAAGAGTGCTGCCACTAGGAATATAGAATAGGCAACTGATGTATTATGAGATTGTAGGCCAAATGGCTAGCACGCAAAAGCAGTAAAGCACATGAGATACAAGACTGAAGGAAATAGTGCTAATAAGTAAAAAGTTATGCTTTGCTAGCACTTTCAATGATTGCTTTCCGATGGATCTTAGTATAATATAAGATCAAATGAACATAAAGTCAATGAAATAGGTCCATTTTGTCTTGAAGGCAAAGGCCCTTGCTTTTCAAAGTTGAGTCACATTCTCAATATCATCTGTCCAATACTGATTCTCAGTCATAAAAATGATATCAGTAGTGCTTGCATTTATCTATTTATTTCCTAGGCAGGTCTTGGTGGAGCTAGGGATGCAACAAATGTTATTCGAAGTACTGAATTAGCAGCATCTGTCATAACAACAGTAGGGAGGGAACATCTGGTTGCATTGGGTGGCTCCCTGCAAAGCATAGCAATAGCAAAGTCTGGAATCATCAAACAAGGACGACCAGTATGTAATTCTCTTATCATTTTCCTTCTGTAAGTCTACCAGTATCTAGTTGCTCCTGTTTATACCTTGAGCTTACAACCAACTTGAATTTGTCTAGCACTTCTTTTTCTATTTGTATTAAATGGTTGATATGACAAGCCCTGCTCCTGACACCTGGTTCATTCCATTGTAGGAATCTTGTTCTCGTTTTTGTTCAGTAACATGAGAAAGGTGTTACCCTTTTTCTTGAATCTTTCTAAAAGACTTGTCCAGTTGTATTATCCTTACATAAGATCTGCCACAGTATATGACAATTATGATTGGACATGCAGGGCCCTTTACTTATTCAGTTATTATTGATTATGTTTACCCAGACTGCTTGATTCTCAGACTTGTTTCTTAAAGCAACATTTTAACATTGAGTTGTGTGCTACATAATGTGTTACCTCAGATGTTGCATCATGTATTGGGTCTTGTCACATTGCACTGTATGCAAGGAGCAGCAGTAGTAGAAACCCTCCCTCTTCCAATTTCTTCTAATTTAGCTTCCTCAATCCTTTTTATTCCACTAATCTTTCCTCCACTCATATATGAATTTCTTACCATAGCATACATGGTCCAAATGAGGACACTGCGATTGTTTTTTTAAAATTCCAGGTTAGTTTCAGACCTAGACAAGATGTAACCTGGATATCAAACATTTTGTCAGGTTGTGATTGGTGGACCATTTGCAGCAGATATTGAGCAAATTATTCGTGACAGGGCATTCTTGACACAATCTCCCGTGATATCTGCTTGTGATCCTGGCATGAAGAGCTTTACAAAATGCATAAATTGGGATAATGGTAAGCCATATCAACGCTGTTACATCAACATAAAGATTTCAAATGATGTGCCCTTGGTGAGTTATATTGGGAACCTCACCTACTTCATCTGAAATTGATAGGTTCCCATCTGTTTTTCAAATCCTCTGACTGATCAACGCAAACTATCCTTTTCAGTGCATTGAAATGCATGACATAAACCTCCAACTGCTGGGACATCATCAGCGTCAGAATGCTGTCACAGCTGCTTGCGCAGCTCTCTGTCTCCGTAGTCAAGGTAACAATACTCCTAAGCCAATTTGCTGTGACAGTCCATCCATCCAGTTTCATCAAAACGACATTTCTCCAGTGTTAAGAGCATGTTAAATTTTGGTTCCTTGAGTCTTGATTATGAACGAGGCTGAACATTTGCTTTCTGTGTGGCTCTTGGTTCATTTGCCCTTTTTTTTATCATCACGCGCATTCACTGATCTATTTTTCCTCCTATGGTATGGCTTTGGTAAGTTAAGGATGGGATATCTCTGATGCTTCTATCCAAGCGGGCCTAGAGGAGACCCAACTTTTTGGGAGGAGCCAGTTTCTGACAGCAGAGGAAGCCTCAGTACTTGGGTTCGATGGTGCATCTACTGTACTAATCGATGGAGGTAACCTCTGCTATAACCTGCTCTTGACATCCCTCCCTTGCAGCGATTAGGAGCGCCAGTCGGTGATGCTTGAACTATGTTTTGCAGCCCATACCGAGGAATCTGCAAAGGCCTTATCAGGCGTGATAAAAACTGTCAGGCCAGAAGGGCCTCTAGCGCTTGTTGTCGGAATGGCTAGTGACAAGGAGCATCTCGCGTTTGCTGAGCAGCTTCTCTCAGGTAGTAGGACTGCTCATCCCTTGCTGAGCATTTGAAATCCAGGCAGGCCGCTGGCCATGAAAGAAAGCTATTGCTGAAATTGATGCCACATTATTCCTGAAACTTGCTGCAGGTCAAACGCCCGACGTCGTGCTACTGACGGAGGCGAGCATCGCTGGAGGAACCTCCCGCGCGATGCCAGCCTCGTCCCTGAAAGAAGTATGGATAGCCGCGGCGCGCGATCATGGCATCGAGTGCGTGGACATCGGTGGCATCAGTGCCGGTGCTAAAACCCCAGAGCACATTGGTGATCTGGTGGGCAGTCCATCGTCAAGTTCCGGAAGAAAGCCCATGGTGATCGGGTGCCAAGACGAGGGGGCGCCGTTCTCCTCGAACCTGATCATTGCTGCCTCCCAGCTCCTGGAGAGCAGAGGCGGGGCTCCTCCAGGCCTCATCTGCGTGACCGGCTCCCTGCATCTCGTCGGGGCCGTACTGCAACAGCTGGGACGGCATTAGAGGAACCAACCATTTCATCTTTTCATGCCACATACTACACTGGATGAGTGTGGCTACACTGAACTCGGAGTGTTGGGTGCTGTGGCTTAAGGTGTAACGGCTCCTGATCAAGAAATTCGAGATTGGGGAAAAATAATCTCGAATGCCTTTTTTTTTTTAGATTCGGAGATGGATCATTCGTGTGGTGTGCGTTGTATCTGTCTCGTCATCTGCATGTGACACTGACGCGTGGACGGCAGACAAGCAAGGCATCTGTGGTGACGTGGGCGGATTTTTTTTTTTTTAACACTTTTTAAACTATTTTTAATTCTAACACTGTTTTTTTAAATCTAACACTTTTGGCCGCGCCTATTGCTGCGGTGCGGGAAAACAACTTTGTCGCGCCATGCATGGCGGCACGACAGCGGCGATGGCGTGGCACTTCCCCGGGCCATGGCCGCTGACGTGGCAGGAGCTGCCGCGCCACGCATCTTGGGGTGGCGAAGCCCAACATAGGACCGCAGCCCGGCCTCCCTCTCCTCACTGTCTCTGTCACACAAACGAATCAAGGGAGACATGGCCACCGCCGAGGCCAGTGCCACTTGCCCGCGTCCACCCGTCTAGCGCGCCGCCGCCGCAAGGACGAGCGCCCGCTGCTGCCGTGAGGACGAGTGCCGCCTTGTCGCCATGGGTGGATTTTGCTAAGCCCCAATCTTCCCCTCGTTGTTATGGTACTCTCCTTGTGTATTTGTTGATTGAATCGAAATTGTTGTTACTTAGGGTTAAGATGCAAAATTAATTTGAATGATTAGTTAGTATAGTTAGTGTAGTAAGTTAGTATAATAAGTGAAGTTAGTATAGTTAGTATAGTTAGTTAGTTTAGTTAGTATAGGTAGTATACTAAGTTAGTATAGTTAGTAAAGTTAGTTAGTTTAGTTAGTACAGTTAGTGAGTCTAGTTAGTTATTGTATTTAGTATAATTAGTTATTGTAGTTAGTCTTGTATATGTGTTAATATTAGATTAGTTAGTATAATTATAGTTAGTATAAGTATTAATATTATAATGGACAGTACGTATGACGATTTTGACGACTTGATGAAGTTTCTTGAAATGCTTTTATAGATGGGGGATTATCATCCGCGGTATAGGTGTTAATATTAGATTAGTTACTCTTAATGTTTGTTCTAACACATCCATTTGAAATTTGAACCAGGATGGGGGATCATCATCTACGTAGTACCCCATTCTTGAGGTGCACTATGACAAGGACCACCGAGCTAAGCACCTGTCGGAGCTTCAGGTGGACTTCATACCTCTTAGATTACGCACGCACCAGCCACACCGCTGGGACGAGCGATACCGACCGTACATACAACGTACCATCTTCCTTGAGATCGTCGGGTCTTCAACACTAGGCTACCGATCCTCGACCCTGCACTTCTCACTGCTGCTGTCGATAGATATGATTTGATACACATTTGGTGAAGTACAAAGCATTGATTTGTCTCATTGTTTGAATTAAAAAATTTCTTGTATTGAATTAAAAACCCACAGGTGGAGGCCAGAGACCCACATCTTCCACCTTCCTTGAGGCGAGATGACTATCACGCTACAGGACGTGAAGATGATTCTATGTCTACGGTTCGGGGGTCTTCCAGTGACTGGGATCCTTGATAACAATCACTGGATGGACTTGGTGGAGCGGTTCTGTGGCAGAAGACCACCCGAGGACGAGGATGCTAAGAGAGCAAAGTAAGAATTTCTACGTTTCAAACATTTACCATTTTGACACCAGCACATGCAAGTCTTTGGTTGGTCTCTTATATCATAAATATATGTTATGGTCTAAGTCTGTCGTTGATCTACATATTCTATAAATTATTTTTCTATTTAAATGGAGGGTGTAGTACATAACTTTTATGATGCGTATTGTCTTTGTCTAATTTAATGTTTATTTTTGTTCCCTCTGTGTTTACACTAAAATTTAGAGAGAGAAACGCGAAACTCGAAGCTTCCAAAATTATGTCGATCAAAGAATCGATCGCATACGGATCGATATCAGCTGATTTAGATACAACTCTGGAATCGGATCGCTTTTGGATGACGTCAGCAGATAGCAATGATGAGCTACGATTGGCGCCAGGAAGCTACATATCGGACTCTACAAAAAGAGAAAGATTATGGTCCAAGTTATCTTAAATTAGGAATATTTTCTTCTATGCCAAAGATTGTAATGAGTCGTGCTCGAGTAGGATTCATGTTTAGACTCCGGGTATAAATATCGGACCCGGCTATTGTAAGGGAGAACACAATCAATCAAATACAAGTTACTTATTTTTTTTGGCTCCGGCCACCCCTTAGGAGTAGGAGTAGAGTAGATCTCGACAAGTTCTTCAGCGAGCAGGGCTGCATCGGTCCGGCCGACCTCCGGCTTGTCTGTAAGTACCATCATGGCTTATACTTTTGTTCGTACGGCTACATCGATCCGGTCAACCTCCACTGCGACTCTGGTATAAGCTAGTTATCGACTCTTGTTTAGTTCAAGTACGGTTGCATCGATCCGGTCGACCTCCACTACTCGAACTAGATTAAGGTCAAGTTATCGGCTCTATCTAAGGGTGGCGTCATTCGGATAGATTCATTAAGTTACCGATATTGCTTATTGCTTTTATTATTTATTTAATTACAGCAATAATACTTCGTCCGATCGGGATTGATCTAGATCGGCTTTATATCCTATTTAACCCATCGTTTATTAATCTAAACTGATCTAATATGCATATAAAATGATGAGTTATGTTTTATCGGCTGTTTTATGTTAATCTTGATCGTGCACAGCGGTTAAGGCATGTCTAGTCTTGAATAGATCTATTGGCTAACGAAAACCGTTTCATGGTCCGTTATCACGGCCTGTGTGATTCTGACTCACACTCCACTGTTAGCACCGTGGAGTGGGGATCGTTACTTGGTAGATCTGTTCCTGATAGGGCATGACCTTAACTGTGCGCTATGTTTGAATCAGCTGTTTTAGCCAATATCGAGTGCCTTCACATATGCAGTTCACGTCACGAGACCGTTGAAGTAAAGATAGGTTGAAAGATGTGTTAGCCCCATGATCTTATTATTGTATTACGACCTACATGATTCTGCCTCATGCCCCACTGATATTAGTAATAAGTTAGGGTCGTCGAATTTATCGCTGTTTTCTACGGCCTGCAAGATTCTACCTCATGCCCCACTGGTCATAACGATAGATGAGATCTAACATGTTCATTAGATTTATCTCTATTAAATGGTTAAATGATGATGAGCTGCTTCTTTTATATAAAAAGAGATTCGGTTACTTGCAATCATTGGCTTAGCATAAACTGATTATTATTGACATCCTATTACCATTGACTAATATCTGTCTAAATAACGATATTCATCCTGAATGATAACCAATTTTTCTTTCACAATCCCATGAGCTTTAACTGGTTTATTCTTATGAGTATGCTAGAATCGGTTATTTAGTCTGTTTCCTTCCACATTGGCTCTCAGAGCCGCACATTCGGGATTGTCTGGCAACACCGGCATGTTCCGCCTTAAATTACTGATTAGCTTTCTCTCCTTATCAATTGTAGGGTTAAATTGACTGGCACGTCTCTGGAGGATTGCGTAGGATCGATAATCCCTACGTTGAAGCTAGGCGGATCTCCAGCTCCATCGAGCAGACCCTTCTGGCTTGCTCGTGTGCCCTCGGCACGGGACAAAATTTCTGCCGACACACGTTCTGGCACGCCTGGTGGGACCCCACAATCATCATGGCGGTTTACAACAACAATGACATCCTTGTGGTACATTACGAAGACTTACCTGATGGAGATAAAGATGTTATTGGCAAAGCTATAGAAGAATTTTAGAACAAGTGTTTGTTGTCATACACCAAAACACGTGACAATACAATTATTCAGAAATATCCACTACCCAGAGTTCTATTGCATGGGCAGACAGATGCAGATGAGACTGAAGGTAGGTGTTTCTTCACGGAAGCTATAAATAAGTCTGTTCAGGATGCCATATCGAACCATAATGAACTTTTCTTAAACACATTCCATAACACCATGAAAGAGGTGTTTTATGGGTTTCTAGTTGATTAGATCGGGCTGGCTTATTATAACATTCTACATCTGTCGACCCAGGGGACTAATCAAGTCGGTACCAGCCGTCAAGAAGCAACACCAGCTGGTAATGATGATGTCCAGGCAGTTCAGAGTTCATCTGAACAAGCTCAAGGGGTTACTACAAATCAGATACAGTATAATCCTAGATCGTCAGTGCAGCTTGTGCAACAGCCGACGGGGTAAGGTCAAAACCAGGTGATTAATTTTGGCACAACAAGCCACATACCGTCGTTGGCTAAAAAAATAGCACCATTAATTTAAAGGATCCGTAGGGATATAGATCCTAATGTCTATAACTAGAGACTTGAAGAAGCAAACCAGCAAAGGACCCAACAGATAGAGATTCCACAGGGGTATCATTATGGCACAGATTATAACACCATTCACATAATTCTGAATCTAGAGTATCAAGGCACACGAGATTTCAATCCACAGATGGGTCAGCAAGTGTAGAGAAATCCAAATTCACATGCTGACGAGTTGTTGTTGAAGGTGACCGAGATGATGAAGAATCAGTTCGGTCTAAAGCCAAAAGGGCTGACCTTCTTGTACAAACGCCCATATCCAGAATGGTATGATTTGGTCGCTCTTCCTACAAATTACAAGCTCCCAGAGTTTGCTAAGTTCACTGGCCAAGACAACACAAGCACAATAGAACATGTCAGTCGATATCTTACATAGTTGGGAGAATCATCCGTTGAAGAGGCCCATCGAGTTCGTTTCTTCTCCTTGTCCCTGTCAGGGCCAGCCTTCACTTGGTTTTCATTATTGCCAGTCAACTCCATTGCCAATTGGGCTGATCTAGAAAAGAAATTTCATACATATTTTTATACTGGGACTAGAGAAAAGAAGATTAC